GGCAACCTCAAGCTTAGCATCCGTCGGACCACTCCGTCCTGCAGGATGGGGGGCACATGGCTTGGACTACTAGTGGTTGAAAACACTGGAAGTTACGGTGCGCTACGGACCTCAGTGGCACAAGTGTTGTTCAATCGCATCATTGGTTAATGTCTAATCGCATATATATATATATATATATATATATATATATATATATATACGCTTGACGAGGATGCAGTACAACCCATAGGCGTCTGTATTTTACGCAATTGCCGCTTTTCCTTTGCGTGCACGAAGGATTTCTCTCACACCTCGGCAACGACCTTCGTGATTAGATCGCGCCATGCACGCTGATCAACGCTTTCGATTCCCTTAACGTGGTATCAAGATTAGAACGTGAGAGGCTTACTTTGATCACGTCCTGGTAACGAGGCTTCGGTTTCCCCACATCCAGCTTCCCAACCCTCAGTTGATCATATGACGGCTGCTTCGGTATCCGCGTCGAATCAATACGCCACATATGACCGAGCCACCTCAGGTGTCTTAGCAAACGTATGCAGTCCACTGCATACATTCCACTTCGGCGCAACACTTCCGTGTTCGCAAATCTGTCGCACCAACGGTTGCGCAGAATCCGTTGCAGACATTGTTGATGAAACCGCTCGAGATATCGCATAAGCCGCCGGTACATCGTCCACGTTTCACTGCCGTATAGAAGAACGGACAGCACCTTAGATTGGTACACCATCAGCTTCGTGCCAACGGTTAGCTGATGGTTGTTCCACACTCGGTACGCAAGCTTCCCAAATGCCGTCGCTGTCTTCGAGATGCGGATACGCAGCTCACTGTGTAGCTGCTGGTCAGTTGATACCACATTTCGAAGGTAGCAGAAGCGGGGGGTGGTTTCCAACACTTCAGCACCAATGCTGATTCGCGGCAATATTGAAGATTGCACCTCCGGTGAAGGCTGAGAGAGACAGACGGTTTTGCTTGTCTCTGAAACAAAAGATCATCTGGTGAGCAATTGTTTTAATTTATTCACGTGATCAAGTCGTTTTGAACTAACTGGGTCGATTTCTCTTTCTAGCCTCCATATGATTGTAATGGTCTGATGATGAATCATTAAAAGCAATTGCCCATTTGATCTTCTTTTGTTCTAGAGACTTAAATGGGAATTTTCAAATTTTGCTTGTGTTGGTGGTGAGCCCGAGTTTGGCAGCTGTCGAAGCCAGAGCACTAGTCATGTGCTGCAACTCATCCGCGCTGTGTACAAACAACGCACAGTCCTCAGTAAACAGCGACATACGGATAGCTGTCTCACAGATAGGGAGACGACAGAGCTACAGCAACCCACCATTAATACGGTGCTGCACACGAACACAGGTAGCCCACTGTGGCTAAGCAGTCCACATCACACAGGCGTGCAGCCATCGCATTCTCCAGCTGAATGCGGTTCGCCACAGTACCGAGGAAGAGAACGTTAAATATACGCCTATTCGCAGCGGGAGTGCAATACGTAGATTTACGAAAATATATGTACAATTTGGTCTGCACCACTACACGTATCATGCGTGCTTCACGCAAATCACGCTGACGTACGATGACATAGTCGAGCAGGTGAGCGTAACCACTCCGTGGGTGCGTCCAAGTTGCTATATCACTGTCACTCAGTGCAAACCGAATGTTTTTGATCGTCATACCGTGAGTGGCACACAGTAAGAGAGCAGCCTGTCACCGTTCGCATTCGCTGAACCAATACATGCGAACCGATGACATCTCTCCACACCGATGCATCACTCCCAACGCGCGCGTTAAAACCACCCAGCAGAAATAGTCGATCGCTCATCGGCACAGACCGTATCACGGAGGATAACTGAGTGTAGAATTGATCACGCGTGTCATCAGGATAACACATGGTCGGACCGTACGTGCTTCTAAAAGTAGCAAACTTACCTTTTCCGAGTCGTAGGCGAACGGTCATCAGCCGCGCGCTGATGGCTGTTGGTTCACCCACCAGCTGGCCATGGAGGCGATCGGATATTGCAAATCTGATCCTATGTTCACGTGGTGCTGAGGCGGCGTTGCCCACCCAGTAGTATGTGTAGCCAGCACCTGCTTCATGCAACTTACTTTGATCTAATCTTGATTGCAGGTCATGGGAATCGAAGGCGGTTGATCTGTGTGCATGGCGCGATCTAATCACGAAAGCAGTTGCCGAAGTGCGGGAGAAAGACCTTATACATGCAGAGAAGAGGCGGTAAGTGCGGAAGCGGCAAGCACCGATGGGTTGTACTCCATCGACATAGAGTGCATGTTGCTGTAGCACATGCGGTCGCGAGTGCCTGAGTCATGCAGGCCTAGTGAGCCATGAGCGAGGCGACTCGGGACCACTGCCAAAGCCTGCAGAAAACCTAGGCAGAACCGGCGCAGCGTTTCTATGTACGTTGCATTCGATTTACTAGCCGCGTGCTTGTATGCTAAGTCTATTTATTTCAGGTGGTGGGTTTGCAATTTTGTCCTAATGCTTTTCTTTCTCACATTAATGTCTACCTGTACTCTCTTCTATAAACTTGCACACGTCGCTTAAGCCAATTGTAGTTAATTTCAATGCCATTTCCGTAAAATATACTTTCTGACCTCGTGAACTTATCTCGGATTCGTTTGGAAACAACTTATTTCATATGCTCATTAATTTAAGTTTTATGTCCCTGTTTCCTTATGCACTAGTTGATTTATTTTATTTGTTATCTTTCACACAAGTGATTGGCTGTTGCTTGATATCCCCCGTGTAGTTGCGCTTAATGTGCATGTTGACAAAGTGCCTACCTGTCTATTACCCACTACCTCGACCATACTGGCTCTAGAAGACAGTTGGTCGTTGCTGGAGGGGACGGGGTGCACGGTGCTTGTGGCCGTGCGAGGCTCGAAGAGTGCTTCCATGAACTCAGTGTGGAGCGGACTTCGACCCAGCCACCGCATTGTATGCGCTTGATTCCGCAACTACAACGTGCTTGTGTTTGCCTGTGAAGGAGTGTGGGCCGGCTCCGTTGATGAAAGGTGGTTCCCATCTACATGCCTCCCCATCTTATTCTTTCGAGTTTACACTGAATAATGGGGTGTGTGGTTGGAACTGTGGGTAGTGCAGCGCAAGCCACCCATGATTCCTCTGTAGGCGCAGGTGTTCTGTGGCTGGCAACAGTGACAGGCCAATTCGAAACCGGATACCGCAAACTATACATACATATATATATATATATATATATATATATATATATATATATACAGGTTTTTCTCAATATTGATTTCCCAAACGTTCTTGAGTTTTGATCCAATTAGAGTGTTAGGCGGCGTGACACATTGCATTACGGTGATTCTCAGGCTACACGACAACGTCAAGGATCAGTCGCGTCATTGTTGTTCCTTCCCGTTTCTCATGCTCAGTTTCACGCCACTCATTCCTTGCTTGGTCCAAGAAGTAACAAAACATGGTCCAAAACCTGTATCATTCATATGTTTAGTGTTCTCTTTTGTTTACCGTCTGCATACATACTTGAATAATCTACAGAGTAGCGTTTACTGCCTCGCGGCCGCTGATATACCGCCTTATTCTCACGCTGTAACTAGTCGTTTACTAATGTATGGTGCTGGGAATGTATGGGCGCTTTGGTCGCAAGTGTTCATTCATTACACCGGTCTTACATTGGGCCGGTTACCGATTAGGCATGACATCTGTTTGTTGTATCCCAGAGTTCCTCACTTCAAATCTTCATAGGTGCGAGCGACGTTTTAGCATCTCTGGCCTGGGACGTAGCGAAGCGTCGGTACAGCATGCTGGCATATTGCTGGTGCTATTTTTATCTTGGTCCTCCGTGCCCTCTTGTTCCCTATCCTTTAACCACCTCTGTCTCTCCAGCACAGTGCAACTGTGCCGTCTTTGATGACGGCAGCGGATCTCATTGTAACATCCACATCTAAGTCCATCTTTTTTACGAACTAAGTCTTCGATTCCATGTGATTTTACGGGAAACATATCCATACCAAGATTCGCAAACTTCATTTTAAGAATAGTCCATTTCGTTGAGAGAATGTTGCATTAAAACGCAATGTTTTGTTGCTGACCTAGCTGTAGTAGGCACAAATCCGAGAAGGATTTGTATTCATCTCAGTGAGCACACACTGTTGCACACGTCGCAATAGCCATTGTAATCCTGACAGACCACTGAGAAAAAGAGAAACGAGACAGTCCGCAGTCAAACACGTCCACTACTTTGTTTGAAAAGACGGCATTAACATTTATGATTCTTAGCCTGGACAGATACGGGTGGAAGCGATAAACTAAATGCAAGAATCTCATCGTCTTCAAATCGCCCTAACACGTTTATATCTCACTTCTCTGTTCGTCCCAATCAGCCGACAATTCAGATAAGTCAACTAGCTATCCGGAAAAGCACCAGACGACCGTTTCGCCCTGTTGGGGCTCATCAGTGGTGCGCATCCTTCGATCCTCTGTGGAGGATCGAACCCATGACTGCTAGTGGCTCTTGCCAACTAGCCCGCAGCTTATGTAACTGCACCATGGAGGACGGTATCCGACCATCACGAATTGTTAGCTAAATGCGATATAGCGCGACCCATCCTCCACTGCCATGCAGGCACATGCCATGCAGGTGACAGCGGTTGGCCTTCCGGCGTCAGGACTTCCCGGTTACGGCAGCTATGAATCGACATAGCATTTTGTGGAACCCTAATAATGATGAGCCTGATGACGACTGATGAGCCCCAGTAGGGCGAAACGGCCGTCTGGTGCTTTTCCGGATAGCTAGTTGACTTATCTGAATTGTCGGCTGATTGCGACGAACAAAAATACTCGCCAAAATCCTTCCACTCATAAGTAATCTCACTTTTCTGTTTGTGCATCGCCCTTGATGCTATTCACCTACGTGTCGACCTTGCTGAGACCAATGAGAATCGGCCAGCTTTCGCATCTCATCCCTTTTTACTATTTCCATCTTCTGCAGGAAATGGATACAGCCGCGGAAACAGAAGCAGTCGCTAACCTTCTGAAGAAACTGTACAAAGAGCTGCCTGCGGATTCTGTTTTTTGGTTCCTTAAATGTTGGTTGTGCAGTGAAGATAGTGTGAATGACCCTGATTCTTGTGTGATCAGTCGCGGGGACGCCAAGGGTCGTATGCGCCGGATTGATGGCGGAAAGGGCTCTGATAAAGTGAGTTGACTGGTTGCCCTCTTGAGTGCTGCACACCCTCATCGCATTGCGTGTGATCGGCCATCTCTACCACCGTTTAATTTTCACTTCATCACATCTGGTTCGTGCAGTATCTCCACATACTCGTTGCTTGCTTATAATGGTTTACTTCCCCTAACTGTCTGTTGGGGGATGTGACCGCAACCGTTTAATTCACCCTTGCTAATCGAGCCATGTGTGTGTGACTTGAGAAATCAATAAACAATTCGGGGCTGGTCGCTTTGCGTGGCTTGCTTCTACATTAAGCAGTTAAGGTCCATAGAGGTTAGTTACATTCGATCATTCCTTCCTTCGCAGCCTAGCTCATGTCTGGTGGGAACACTGCGTGAGCAATGAACGTTTTAAGCGTCGTGTATTTGGTGCAGGAGCAGCGAGTGAACCGCTCTGCACCGTTGTAACACACCAGCCTCCGATGGCTGGGCCAGATGTTGCGTATGCCGTCACATTGATTTTCGCGACCTGCGTTTTTTGCGCGCCGCGGGTGTGGATGGAAGGTGTGGAGTGGAGCCTAAGTGATGACTTGGTCAAGAGGAATTAAGGTCCTCACTTTAAACTTGGCGTCGGTTGGTGTCTCTTGACTGCTAGGCTGCGGACCGAAAGACACGTTTGGTTGGCTACACTAGTTGTCATCGCAAGAAGCCGACCTAAGTGGCGTCTGTGTTGTGAGTTCTGTTTTGTTCGTCCCCATTCCGCTTATCTTCCCTCTCCAACCGCGATCTCAATCTTAAAGCACAATATATTACTAAGCGGCTTTTTACCTGTTTTTGTATTCTATACTGTTTATCATTTCGCTTTTTCGTACGTTATCTTTTTATATTGCAGCACAATAGTTGAAGTGCGTTTCTGGTGATAAGTTAAGCTAGTGGGCTTGCGTCATTGGCAAGCATTACCATCGCATGCGTCAGATACTGCATTTGTTCTTTTGTTCCTTACCTTTTACTTATTCCATAGTCCAAGGATTCGATGTAGTTGTCAGTAGTTTTGGGTACGAATCTGTTCAGTATTTTCAGTTCACTGCATCCTTACTAGTCTTCTCGGTAACCTTCCGTCTTTGTTCATTTTCGGGGCACTTTCTTCTTATCTAGATGAATCAAAACAAGTGTTCCGCTAGCCTTGAATTTGAATGTACCGAGCTCCGTATCCTGATGTTCAGACACGCGGAATAATCTCCAATTCGCATTGTTGTTCCGTTGAATTGTCCTCCGTGTTCTGCTACAGCCCTGGGTGTGACTACCTGCTGGGCTTGGTTGCTCAACTATGATTCATACACCGACGTGCGGTGAATTCAGCTGTATTGACTTAGATCACAAAAACTCACAATCCGAGAAGTCGGCGGGAAGTGAACTTAGTCAGATCGAGTGGTTAACAGTCCCAATATGAAAACACATGCAAATGAGTCACCGAATCCTCGATTGCGTCATATGCAATGGAATATCTAACCAATCTCGTTGTTTAACCGGAGTTCACCTACGGGAAGAAAGTAAATGCTAATTACATCGTTTAAGCGGCGGGTCTCTTTATAATCTTTAGTCATGTTAACGGACGGGCCACTCCATCTTATCCTCTGCTACTGACAGGCAATCATCAGCAGTACGCCGACACACAGTACCGATGCTTCGTTGCAGCGCAACCACCACCAGTCGCACGTGCGCTAAGGATACTGCAAAGATACCCCTGCCCCTACGCAGGCTCGAACCCACGCCGTCAGATTACAATACAAGATCGTTACATTTAAGTTACGGGCAGGCTCTTCTATTGGCAGTCGACACACACTGATCCAGCCGGTTCAAAGACAGGCAGAGGACGTATCCTAGCTGACGTAAATTCACTGAACCTTCCATAGCAGCACCATGTGATATGAATGTGCTCCATTTTGATGTTTATTTCCAGCAAACTGATTTACAGATGTATACTCACACAATCTATGGACTCGTGTTGTAACATTTTCCACTCACAGTGTCCACTATCTTGAAACCTTATTTTCGACCAGGTTCTAAAGGTCGAACCTACTACATATCAAGCCGTGCTCGCGAAGCTCAATAGACTAGTGATTATGGCGATAGCCGCCAGCAACTGTGCCGAATTCCACTTCCAGTCCAGGCTATCTCAACCTGATGCGTCCGAAGCCGGACGGAACCGTCAGTCGTGGAGTGCAAGAGTGGGAGAGCGCAACACCGAAACCCACTACTCTGCCTTTTTTCGATCTCCCCATATTTGTGTACCCTCCTTTTTCCGAATCGGAAACCCCGTGCCGCCTTAAGTGCGAACTCGCCACACGGGTCAGGAACCCAGATACGATCTACTCCTGACGTTTGAATCAAGTGATTAATAATCACTTGGATCTGTAAGTGGCCCGCATAAATCGCACTGCTGATGTCGTCTAGTCTGACAATGGAACATTTGTAGCCAAATCAGCCAGCTCGGAGAACACCGGCATACCCTCATCCGAGGATGCACTGCCTAATTATATTGTCAAGTCTTGTCTAGCGCCGCGTTCCTAATGTTCAGACGCTGCTACAGACTAGATCACAACTATCGTTTGTTCGCAATGTAGAAACGAGCCATTACTGAATACTGAGCTTAGCGAGCGAGAAGATAAAAGCAAATGTTGCTTCATCGTAGGTGGGTTGGGCACATGCGCGGAATCACCTCGCTGATTCCTGTGCGGTGTCAGCATATTGCCGGTGCACTACCTTTTATCCGGGTACGATGCGCTCCCTATACCTGTAGTCCGCAAAAGTGGACATCTAGGAATCTTAAATTCTGAGACCAATTTTGCCTCGATTAACGTTTCCGACAAGTTGTTCCAATATTTCACCGCTCGAAGCATAGGGGTGAGCGATGCGCTTTAAATCCAGTACCACTAATTTGTACCGTTGCCGGTGTGTGCTGCATGTTGCGCGAACGTGCAGCAGCGGCCACAGCATGGGGTAATGGCCCATGTGCAATATCTGGTTCGTCATAATGAGGTCAGCTGGAACCCGACGATATGACAGCGTATACAGCCCTAGTCTTCTACATCGGTCCTCGTACGACACCCTGTAAACTTGGGACGAGTCGGGTAACTACATGCTGAACCCGTTCCAGTCTCCGCACCTCACCTGTTGTGATCGGACAATAGGCGGGTGAGCCGTACTCATGTACCGGTCTTATCATGGAAGAAAAAAGACCAAGTGCAAAAGCTGTGTCTAAGTGCGCAAAGCAGGCGTAGTCCTTTTACGTACAGTCTGTTCGTGTTGTCGACAGACTAGATCCCTTACGGAACTGGTGGGATGCAGCTGGTTGCCGGCCAGTGTTTACGCACGCCAATTACCACCCTTCCCCTGGGCTCATACATGAGGACTTGACCGGGTTGACCGGTAGGTCAACTGCTGCAGACCATCGGGACAGGTAGTCGAGGTCCTGCTGAAGGACGTCACAGTCATCGGGAGAATCAATAGTCCTTCCAATCAGTGCACAAGATGACCGCAGAAGCTGAGGCACTTCGTTTATGTGGATCAAGAATAAACTTGGCTCCAGCGCTGTGCCTTGGGGTACGTCGCTAGTGGAGGAGTACCATTATGTTAGGTGGTCTTCCACCTGTGACCGCCATCCTCTTTCAATAAGGAAGCCACTGATCCACCGGTGCAATGCGCCACCAACACCACACGTCCTCAGCTTGTAGAGCAGGACCACATGGTTTACTTTATCGAAAGCTTTACTGAAATCAATGTAGCTGATATCCACTGTCTTTCCCCGGTTCGACGCTTGCAACCATTCCTGCCGCGTCAACGGCAGATTGGTGATACTGGAGCGTTCCTTCCTGAAACCGTGCTGTGCCGGCGTTAGGATGTCTTTCTACTCCAATACCTGGAGAAAACCCTTTTCACAATCTTCTCGAGCACCTTCATCAAGACAGAGGTAAGACAAAGGGGCCGGTAATTATCTACATTGCGTGGGTCACCGCTTTTTGGAATCGGCTTCACTACCGAGCATTTCCAATCGCTCGGCAATGCACCCTCGAACAGCAATCTGTTGAACAGATCCGTCACGGCAGGCGAGATGATGGCCGATAAGCACTTAAGATAGCGGGTGATGTTCATTAGGTCCGGCATGTTTCATACCGTCAAGACTGGCGAGTGGAGTGCGGACACCGCAATCCAGGCTGTCCAGTTCAGTAGGGGCTCCACATGTCGAGTTCAGCATAGACGCATGCTCTCTTGTAGATACGGAAGCGAAGTGCTCCGCCAATGCGGACGCATGTTCAGTGCTGGAGGTCAGTGTCTGTCCGTCAGTGCCTTCTAACACAGCCACGTCACTTGCGGGCCTCAGGCGCCGCTTCAAGTAAGCAAAAATCTTCATGGTGACTGTCTTCGCTGAGGTTCCAAGGTGCTCTTCGAACTGCCGACGCTTTTGCGTTTTTGCGCTACTCGAAATATTCCGCTACCCTCTGTATCCCTCATAATCGTCAGCAGAGCCAGACACAGGTGGAATTTATTCCACACTACGCGTCACTGACGAGCCAATTGGCCAAACTCTGTCGAACCAATGTGGTTTCACTGGTCCAGCTTTCCTTTATTTGAGGGATACGAAACATACGGACAACAATTGCACACCCTCTTTCATAACAGACCAGCATGCTTCAATAGATGAATCCTGCGGCAGCCACCAGTGCACTTCACTGGCGGCTCAATTTAGATATTCGAAGTTCGTCTTCCAGTAATTGTAGATCGGCTCCAGCGGACGCGAGTAGGGCAGCGGCAGCTCTAGGTTGACTAAGACCATCGAGTGTTCGCTAGTTGCAATAGGCTCCGGGACCTGCATTTCATATGCACGTCGGTCCAAGCACGATTGAGCGGAATTCGGTGTAACGCGCTCGCTTGGCAGACGTGTTGTGCTGCCCCAGTCTCAAATATCATCTGCGCAAATTGCGCCTCGATTTCACAGTGTCCGGGGAGAAGTTGGCTCCAGGTCACAGTATTGCAGGGAAGTTAAATCGCACATAAGCAGGAAGCGAGGCCGACTCATGTAATTTATGACATGCGGCAACTAATGCAGACATCTACTTCGCGGGCTCCGAT